TTATATATCCGCTATTTTCCGTTGTTTTCTATAAATTTTGTTAGAAATCGCCGTAGATGAAGCGAGCAAAACAATTGTTGACTGAACACGCGAAGCGGACGCGACGATGATCTTCGAGAACGGCGCGTCACATCGGTCGCATGTCGCATTCGCTGGCGGACGTCGATATCAGATGACAATCCGCGTGTATTCGCAAAAGCTGCCACTCATTTTCGTTCTTCGTCAACCGGGAAACCATCCTAGACGATAATAGCTAAGTAAGCGTTCCGTGCACGCGATTTCCTAACGGCACTGATGCGAGCCGCGACATTTATATATAAGTTGCCTCCGAGACGACGCGCAAACGCGAAGGGACGAGAGCCTCGACTTCCAAATTGAAAATCCGCAATCGTTTCTTCGCAACCATTCGACTCGTTCTTGTTTAGAATAGTTTTTGTTACGTAATATTATTTATTGCTGATCACCATATTTATTATTAACCCTTCTAAATCTTGCAACGAGTCTCGCGAACGGACCAAGACTGACGATTCAGATCGTGCGCGTGCCTCGTGGATAAACAAAAATTCTAGGACGACGTTTAATCATTTTCATCGCTTGTTCATTCGTTACAACGGGATACATAATATCTATATGCATTACAATTATCAACCCTTTTAGTGCCAACGACGATACATCGTTGCACATACAATGGCGCCATTACTATTCGCATTCCGAAAGAACTGTCTTAAAATAAATTTATTATTAAGCAGTTTAAATTCTAAGAACGATTATAGGCTGTAAAACATTTTATCATGAAATTATAAGAGTTTAATTATTATTACTACAATTTTTGCAGTCGGCATTAAAAGGGTTAAACATGATCGCGTGAACCGCGGCGAGATGTACGCGATTTCCGCGATCGGAAACGTACAAACTGCGATGATCGATCGATTGGGGAGCCTCGCTTTTCGTTCGCGACTCGTGCCACCGTCGGGTCAATTCTTGACCTTCAACCCGAGTACCGCGGCGAACAACGCGAAGAAGAATCCAGCAAGCAACGCGGTAGCCTTCAGCAGGATCAATCCTCCGACCAGGGTTGGGATCAACGCGACGAATTTCAGTTTGTAGGCCATCAGCAGCGCCATCATCGTACGATCCATCTTCCGTTTCCTTCGGCGAGGACGTTCTGAAAGAAACGTGTCCGTGGAAGGGGTAAATGCTCCGATCGATCGAATTGATTATTTGCTAACATTAATCTTAGAATGATCAACATTCCTGTATTTAACTAATAATTGCGACTTACTATATTCTACCTAACGTATTAGAAATGTAATAAATACTCCAATAAATAACGTTGACTACCGTACAAATTCATGAATAAATTGACATAATTGACACGAACAGATTGAATTATTTCTTACCTGGTCTGTAAAGGTAGTCCTTGGATAAACCCAGTCCATTGTTCCTCGTCAAAGTTTTCACCACCTTCGTTTTGTCCTCTCCGCGCAAAGCAACCGTATTTTGAGGTGCAACCTTGTGGTGAACCTCTTTGATCGGCTTCTTCGCGACCGGAAACGTCTTGTGTTTCTCCTCGGACCGCGAACCTTCCAGCATGCGAATCACGCAGCTGAGAGTCAACAATATCGTGACTAGATTCACTCTCGACCTCATCCTCGCGAGTTCACGAACGTGAATTCTGTCCACGATCAACTTCGACTCCCAATCACATCCTCGAATCGCGTTCCACAGTTTCTCTTTCAGTCGCACTAGTCGATGTACCTATTCCAATGATCCAAACGGTCCGACTGCTGCGCGCACCATGACTCTTTAATTGCTTCAATGTTCCTGGAAGCGTGAAACGATAGAAGTAGGATAGTTCGGCGATAACCAGAATGAATTCACTATAGGAAACAATTTTCGTGATTCTACCTGATGGAATCGAGTCAATTTTAATTTATGTCATCTTTTTTTATTAAAGCTATTATTTAGAAATTCTGCAGCGTAGGTAACTTACGCTGGAACCGCGGCAGATTCCACGCCGAGAGGACTCCGGTGTCCGCAGCCGCTCGTGCGTTCCTCGGGTCCCTCGCGACGATTATTATAGGCAATTTCCGAGAACCGCGACGACACGACGAGAGACGAATGCAAATAACGAATGGACGTATCCCAGTTGAACGAGTGACTGGAGAAGCGAGCGACCGCGAGCTGACTGATACGGTCTTGATTCACGGAGGAGGATCCGAGGGGGGCCGACGAGGGTTACCACGCCGCTGCGGCACGCTTCAGTTGCCAGGAGGATCGACAGTCCGTGAAAAATGAGCACCGCGGCGACGTGACGGCAATATATGCGTGCGGTAACCACTGTGATCCAAATTGTCGACAGGCGAATATATGTGTCAGGTTATATTGTCGAACGGGATCCCCTCGCGCGAGTACGCGCGCGCGCGTCTCTCGCCGAGAGGAAGGAAACGCGAGCGCATGGGGTGCCGCCCGCAATCACAGGTACGCCGCGGCATGCACGATGATTTTTGAGTTACGCTGCGCTGCTAACCGGGCCGATGACAATTGAATCGGCGATGGAACGCGGTACAGGATCGAAAGCCGATCCTCCACTAATCCGTCTAATATGGGATCTGCGGTACTATTGGAGGGAGGGACGGGAAATAAAGAATTGGAGAACATTATTGAGTAATTTGCAGCACGAGGCACCACTCCTCGTGAAATCGACCTGCACGCAATGCGATTTTCCAGTCCCAGAATAAATATGACCCGCATTCTATTGAAAACTGAATTTTTGCATCGATCGCGTTACGTATCGTTAATTAGAGGTCTGTGTTTCGACGATAAACATACTTTCTAGACCCTCTTTTGTATTGCTTCCGATAGCATAAAAAGTGCCCATATCCCATTATATCTATATTTACTAGTTTTTTTTATCATCGCGGTGTACCGTTAAAGAAACCCTGTATCGGTTATAATATACTGCGAAATGAACGATCGTTTAAATTAGATGATTGGACATAAATAAAACTTTTTTAATTAAACCCTTTCATATTTTTATCACCCTACGGGTCAGTAACGTCGCGTTACGAATTTAGATAACTGGAGAAGTCGACAGTGCGCGTGTAGCTCTATTCACCTGGCAGTTGAAACCTGAAGCCACATTGTTACGTTCCGCGTAGAGATAGAGGACGATTTCGTGGCCTCCTGCCTGAATACAAGGAGACGCGAATAATTGCGAGAAACGGGACAAGGGAGAGCGAGATGCCAGGGGAGAATAATGGAAAGAAACGAGGAAACGAAATGTTTAGGTCCGCGAATCACTGTCATCATTGCGGTCTTCTGTTCGCTCTTTGTTTCGTGAGTCGCATGTCACATGTAATTGATCGATGGCGTCGTTCTGTCTTCAGAGAAGGATAACGGTCGCGTCTCGAGCGCGTTTAAATAGCGAGGAACGTGAACTCGATTCGGCGACATCGCGAGAACCATCGGAAGTAGCCTGATAAACAGAACGATCTGATTTCATGGATTTTCAGAGATGTCATCACTTTTTTTGGCAATATTCGATCGATGTTGTAAAATACACTCGTCATTTGTTCTCTTTTAATAAAAATCTGATCTGGAATTTTATACAATATTACCCCTTTTTTTATAACAAAGAGGAAATCTTCATCGATTCCTGAGTATTAATACTTAAATGATATATAATGTATAATATAAATGATTTCTGCTAATGATTAATAGATTAGCTCGGGTGTGCGAGCTCGTTAAGTGTGAAGCAACGCTTTCCATGGAAGCGGGGAGCCAGAGCGGTGGATTGTCGCGAATAATCGATGGATCTACGGTCTCGGTAGGGTGGAAGCGTTCCGGTGTTGGTATGACCGGTAACGACGGCGGCCGTCCAATGATCGGAGAGAACAGAGGAATCAGCTCAACGACTCGACGGGAATGGACGACGAATCCTCCGTCACGCGTCAGTACCAAGTTAGATGGTGGTCTCCTTCTCTGGACGTTTTCACGTGCCACCTATATATAAACTAATAGTCCGGCCTAGGGCGAATGTCAGTTAACATTTCATTTGCCGACTGCACAGGTTCCGTCCTGGACGTTCCCACATTAATTACATCCTCTGTGAATCAGTGACATTCGATCCTCTTCACGAGTGCGTGCGACGCTGTTTATTTGTAGAACGTTTTCATATAGTGAAGGGAAACTGTCAAATGAAATAGGAGCATGCTGCTGCTGTACCCTTTGATCTTCTTGCCATTGTTGACGGCCACGGAAAACACGCAACACACCACGATGCAGGAACGATGGAATCCTCAGATGGAAAGTTCAAGGCATCCTGGGGATTGGGTCGGTGATGGGATCCTCAATATCGTAGACGCTGTCCTACCCGTAACGCAATCGTCCTTCGAAGGTACGACAATCAAATTACTAATTAATTCCAAAAAACATCAAACTTATTAGACTTAATTAATGAATGAGGGAATGAGGAATGGGATTATTTATGTAATATAATCTGCAATAATTTAAACAACTTTCAAATATCTTGAATATCCTTACGATTCGTATTATCGACTGGTGCACGAATCGATCCTTATTAGGTCAACACGCTGATCAGCTATTAGGCTTGTTAGCGACGACTCGATACGTGTATCGTGTTCATAATAACGCGATGCACGATCATTTACGACAGTGAATCGGCGCAAAGGCCATAAATTCTTTCCACTCCAGTTCATCCTTATTACCTCATTTATTTCGCGAGCTAATAACGAGGGTTTCCTCTTCTTGCTTTCGTTGTCCCGCGTTATTTAGTGCATCTCCGATGACACAGAAACGATACTCCGGTTCACGCCAGTCGAGTCTATTAAATATTTTAGTACCGATTCGATTGCACTTGGACTAATTCTGTTGCAGCTCGGAAAAAGAAAAAGCACAAATTGAACAGATACATCATTCCATTGATCGTGGGGTTCATGTTGATCAAATCGATTCTCCTGCCGATCGCTTTGAAGACTCTAGCGATCTTAAGCGGTAAAGCGGTGGTTCTCAGCTTGATGAGCTTAATCTTAGCTGCCATCGTGGGGTTGAAGAAGGTCGCCCAAAGCCATTCCGGGACAAGCTACGAGGTGGTCAACGTGCCGGTGAATAAATACAAAAGGCAGGACTACTTCGACGCTGTGGACGACATGACGGACACCGAACCTTATAAATATTATAGAGAACGACGCAAAAGGAAGTAAAGATTCGTGTTGAAAAATTGCAAAAAGGTTTCGTTCCTTTCATCCCTGTCTTTTACAACAGCAGAAATAAAATATATTTTCCTATACGTCGAATGATTTACTGCTTCTTGAATTCTTGAAACTATTTGAAACAAACGCAAACGGTACTCGCTAATTACTTAGTCACGCAGAGTTAGGAATGATAAACAATGGAAAGTGTTTTCAAACGATGACAAGTTGCAGGTGCGAATCATTTTCAATCTCGTGAAAGAACGTTTGCGTAAATACTAGTCGATTAATTTATTCCGCTTTGCTCTTCGATTAAGGAGTTACGCAATCGCGTCGCTTCTTCGCGGAGAGAAAGTTCGTTCGTCTCGGATTCCGAGGATGATCATGAACTTGCGTGACAGGTATCATGACTGACAAGCTCGTCGAATCCAACGTTAAAATCGATCATAAATGATTTTTATTGGTGGTTCGTCATAAAAACACTTGACTAAATCAGTTTTTCGTTAATAATAATTATTTAACTCAACGTTATGAGGAATAGAATACGTCTATTCAGGTCATTAATCTTAAAGAACGTTTAATTTACATATTGAGGGGTCACGTATTGAGTCAATGAAACCTGTAAATTTCATACGGAAACAATCAGAAGAAAGTAACGCGGACGCAAGAGCGTTCGAAATTGAATCATCGTTGAAAGCACTGTGAGTAGTCGTTAAAAAATTTCTCCGTTTAGCGTTCCGCATTACTATTCCGGGTCTCTCCCCACCTTCCTCGTACCCATAGTTTTCTATTTTCGACAAACATATCACATTCATGACATTCCAAGAGTATAAACCAACAAATGATATTATTGTAATATTCAAGATATGATTTATTAATAATGATAATAATAATAATATTGACAATTGAAAGAATGCATATAACAAAAGAGATGAAATGAATCAGTAAGGGATTAAGATTATGATGATATGATCTACAAGAAATGATAATTTCAATTAGCTGTTTAAAACTCAGAAAAAAATAATGGAATTGTTATCAGAAATAAGCTGTTCTAAATCTGTATCGGGTACAATTGAAACTATTATTCATAGACCCTGGGTAGTCGATTGCGAAAACTTGTGAAATCGTTCGAGCACCGTTACACCGCGGAGATGACAAAGTACCGCGCGCGGCTGTTAAATATTTAAGGAGACCCGAATCGCGAGACAATGGAGCAGAGCCCGCGAATAAGGCGGTCGCTATTTCGAGACACGCGCCATATGAAGAAAAAAATCATAATTTGTACGCATTGTTTGACGAGCGAATGACTGCGGGCTACTTATCATCGAATCAGGAATTCGCGGTGGATTCTTATTAAAAAGAGGACAGCTATCGTTATATGCGTTTACTTTGGCACATAATTTGAGAGCTGAAACCGAATGACTGCAAGAGAAATATTGACAGCAAGTACACCCGTAGTAATTGTTACCCGTTTTCATTCAGTCACGTTCTACGCGTGTTATCTAAAGTTATTGACAGAGCAAACAATGGAGAAAGTAGAGTTTCCTCCGACGCAGCGAGTCGCGGGTAAACTCGTAGAACACGAAAAATTCCATAACCCACAAAAATAAGATACGCAGACGTCTGAATTGAATTAAGAAAATGATTGCGTTTACATGACAGAGGTTCTCGATAGCGTTAGAACAAAAGGGAAACCGTTTAGGGTTATATCAGAAAACTCGTCGACGATGTAATCCACGGATTCAGACGACCGACGGCCGCGTCTCTGGGTCAAGGTGAGCCGGCTGGCTGCACGTGGACGCGTACCTCGGTGCACCGGTCCCGAATGGTCCCACGCGGTATATTTTTGGGCTCGTAGAAAAGGGCAGGGCGAATGCCTGAGGTGATTAAGGTGAATTAGATTCAGAAAACCCGGAGCACGTCTGGCTCCAGGGGAATCGAAGTCTACATGGCAATTTCATTGCCAGATTTTTTAACATAATTATCGACCAGAATCTAATTAGTTATCGTCGAATAATTTGATTCTATGATTTAAGAATCGGAAAGAATGTTGAACATTGATCGTCACCCCTAGTCGTCTAAATCCAGTCGAGACTGGAGATCGCCCGAGCTAGGGTCTGCCCAGTTTCAGCCGGTCGGTCGTTTGTTTAAAAAATTATCGACGAAAGTTAGGTCCGACGAAGGAAGTGGGCAAACGACGCGTGTGTATGCGTGTACCATCGATGACGGCTCGTGTGCCTTAGCGTTTGTCGCACGCGTCATCATCGTTTTAGAGAGAGTGGGGATTATTGGGGAGGGTCTCAGCCGGTGTACACCTATAAAGATAGAAGCTACAGAGGGTCGGATCACACTTGCTCCGAAAATTTTCCCGCGGGACGTGTATCCGGATCCTCTCGGACGTTTCTTCTCGTGACCAAAGCGCTTCAGAAACGAAAAATCGTCGAGATGAACAAGTTGCTGATTTTGGGACTTCTCGCCACGTCGGCGATGGCGATACCCGCGCCGGGCCCTGACAACAAGTCTCTGAACACCGAACTCGATTGCCTCGAGGAAGACAACGCGTTGTTCAGCTGCATCTTCGTGAAGACCATTGGCACGCTGAACAGAGCTGCCAGGTCGAGCGACATCGAGATCATCGATGGTGTAAAATTCATAAGGGAAACACCGAGTGAGTTCGAGTTCTATCGTGCCCTCGGTCCACTTGGAGATCCGAAGTTAATAGACGATTCATCGTTTCAGTGGAACGTAGCGGGAAAGACTTGAAAACGGAAGTGGAGGTAATGAACGAGCTGCCGAGAGACACGACCGAGCGAGCCATGAAATTGATCGGGATGCTGTACGAATCGGCCATGTCCTTCGTCAAGTCGCACAGCTTGAAGCTGAGCGTACCCGAGGAAGGTTCCATTTCTCGAGCTCTGGACGAAGGTATACGAGACACTTACGCACGACTTTCCATCCTATAAACGCTCCCATTACGTAACGCGTGTCTTCCCACCCTGATCATAGTCCCGGCGCACCGCGCGTGTAAGTTGACTCATATATACGTACGAACGGATAAACTGTTTACACAGAAAGGCTTTCACCTTCGCGATATCTATGTATACGCGGTAACCTGTTCCGGATAAACTCGTTCCTCGCACTACACTCGCTTTCCATCTTAAAATTACACAGTCGCATTCCTATACGAAAGCGTCTGATTAGCTAAGTCTCAAGCCTTTAACTATTTCCAGGTCGCGGCAAGTTGAAAAAAGTGGCACTGCCACTGATCATCGCGGCGGCAGTGAAATTATTCGCCCTGGTACCCATCGTTATTGGAAGTCTCGGCCTGCTGGTGGCGAAGGCACTCTTCGTAGGCAAGATCGCCCTTCTGGTGGCCGGCGTGTTAGCTTTCCAGAGACTGTTCGGTAACGGCAGCTCCGGCGCGGCGAGCTTCTTCAGTAAGAATTCATCGCCATCCACCGGATGGGTAGACAGTGGCAGCCAAGGCTGGCCGGCGAACGCCGGGATCGGTGGCCCGTCTCAGGGTTACTACAAGAGGAGTTTCGATGCTGAGAACGGAAAGATCGACGCCCATTCGATGGCGTACTCTGCTCAGGCGCCGATCACGAACGAAGCCCATTGAGATTACGACCGGTGGCGAACGAAACAATCCAGGCTACCTCGAGGCCATATCTCGCGACTGTTAGATTAATATTTAAACGATTAAATTATGAACCAGTAAATTATTACACGATCAATGTCAATAAATTATTTGTATTAAAAAATTGTTAACAATGTTTCATTCGATTATATGCGCGAGGTCGCAGCGAAAGCAAGGGCGATTTCTAAATCGAAGGAATTATTTATGCGCGTGCCATGAGGAGGCGCGAAGGTGCATAGAAAACGGCTTGGTTCCTGACACGTGATTAGCGCTCACCAACTGTGAAATATCGACATGTTCGTGGATCGAGCCGACAATCGGTCTGGCTCATATGCGATTCCGATCGGACGCGTACGTATCACGCTTCGATTGCACTCCCACCTGTTACCCTCTTTTCTCGGCCTCTCCTCCCCCTTTCGTCGCCCGCCGGCTCTTCCGTCTCTTTTTCTTCCCATCCTTACTTCGACCGAAAACAGATTCGGGACACGGCGGCCTCGGTTTTGCATGCCGTTCCGTGTCACACGCGCGCCAACAGACACGGAAATCTAATTTTCACCAAGAAACTTATTATCGGCTCCGTCTCGTGAATATGATGTACGTCGGGAGTGGCCTCTCTGCCATTGTTCGACGCACGCGTTTCGCTCGCTCGAAACTCGCTATTGTATCGCTATCAATGAACAAATGCTTCTGGTTGTTTCTGTCATCCGTGGAAAACGGGACTCGTCTTTATGCAAAGTAGCGAGTCACCATTGTTAATTCACATTCTTTGATTCGTAAACAAAATTTGGGAAGCATAACTTTTAAAAAAGAAGGAAGGTATAATGCCTTAAGAAGTCAATAACAATCTTGTATTCTTTTTTACGATCCCTACAAATTATAATCCTTTGGTATTTCTATTCAAATTCTAAAACGAAGTGGATGCTGTTAATTAAATGTTTCTCCTGTGCATAAAGAACAAAAGCGTAAATATTTTATGTCTGAAAATTAGTTAAGCGAATAGATCGAATCGACGGCACGTTTGAAAGTGATCGCGCTGAAAAGGAAAATTAGTTTCTACGACCAGACGGTACGTCACATTACGGTGGGACGTAGTGCAGCGTTTCGAGTTGGTGACACGTTGGAAATTAAAATTCTTCACACCGCGGCCCTTGCACGTTGCTTGCCAAATGGTTCAAACTGGGCCCCACCATTGTTCAGGGTCCGTCGTATATAAAAGAAAATTTGCCCCGGGGCGAAACAGTCAAAATCGACGCCTCCGTATCGTTCGATATCGAGTCAATATATTCAGGATGAAGATAGTGATCGCGAGCGTAGCGATCTTCGCGATCGCGTTCGTCGCGGCCGAAGACGCAAGAAGCGCGGAAATCGACTTGACGAAGACTATGGACGATCTGAACCGAAAGGACACCATACAAATTTACGGCGACATGATCACTTTAGAGAAAATGCACGTGGAACAGGAGTACGACGTTGGGCGTTCTAGCGAGGATCCTTTAGTGAACAAGATCGAGCAGTTTCTGAGGAGCAGAAGAATTCACGTGCACCTGCCCAGCGATGGATCCTCCGTGGACATGTTGGGAAGAGCTTTGGGTCGCAAGGATGTCGACGTCGAGCTTAGGGCTTTGACCACTGGAGCTTCCGAAGGTAAGACTAACGTACTAAATATCTAATTAATTTTGTACACCATAAAAAGATAATTCGTGTACAATATTATTTGTCTAAGTTATCATCATGTTAAAATAGTAAATAACATGCTGGATAGTTTATAAGGCTAGCTTCTCAGAAGCGTGTATGCTGTTGTATGAAGTATGGAAGATAAGTATCTCTAACTTAAATTCTAAATATCGTTGGTATGCAACAATGCTATTTGCATTTAATTGCAGTTAAAATGGAGTCCAAGAATTGACAACATGTGCTATGAATATTATGTACATGTCATCATCTTCAACTCACTTTTACTTTCATAGTATTCTATTTATTTTCAACATGAAGAATAGAATTTTACAGATTAAAGAAATAAAGAAGCAAGTAATTAAGAAATATATATACACATTTTTGTTTTAAAAAGAGGAAATATATTATGAAAAGGGAAATAAAAAAGAAAATTCGGGAGAGCTTCTCGCGACAAGAATTCCTCTGATCTCTCCTTTAGCCTACATATCGACCCAAATATTCGGCATTCGTGGCTCGCCTCGAATGCCGACGCGTGAAACGCTGGAAGTAAAGAGGGAGGGATTGTCAATGAGATTTCTGCGCGATTCAGTGCCGTGAAATTCTGTCCAAGGAACTGTTCGCGAACAGATTCTGGTGGCTGAGATCGCGCTCGAAGTCGCTGCTGCAAATGAACCGGTCCACGGTCCACGAACTTATAGTACTTCGCCTTTCTAACGAGCCTCCAATACGACGGAAGTAAGCCACGAAGCCGTGAAACGATTGGCTGGAAAGTAGGACTCTGAACAGTGCGAGGAGAGGGATCGGATGCGATCGGTATCTCGGCACCTCTTTTCCTCGTCCTCTTTTCGCGGCTCCTAAATTTCCACGAATTTTTTCTCCGGCTCTCGACGGAAGACGACGAGCCGCCTAACGAAAAGAGAGAACGCCGAAGGCAGGAGGGAGGGAGGGAAGGAAGGAGCATAGAAAGCCGTCCCACTTCCTCCGCATCCGCGAAAACAACCGGCGTAGCAGAGATCGGGATTAAAGTGGGCCGTCGCGTCGACGGGATTCCGGGTTTCTGGGACGAACCGCCGCGTCCATGGCGAACAAGGACCTTGAACGAGAGTGCCACATGTCGAAGAAAGTAGATACCTGCCGATAAGTGCCCATTAGAGGGTTCCTAAATCCCCCTTCTCCTCGTCCTCGTCAATTTCACTTAGCGTTTCATTGAATCCATCAAAATTCGGCAGATTAATAGACATTCCTTTTGTGAACACACGAATTCTCTGATATTTTTTATCGACGGATTTATTAAAAATTTTCTGAATTACGACGATTTTGAATTTCAAGCTCTCCCTGGACACGCTTTATCATCCTAATTTTATTTCTCTCTGTTTTAGCCCGAACGAAGTTGAAGAAAATGGTGCTGCCGCTTTTACTAGCACTGAAATTGAAGGCACTGATCGTCCTACCAATCGTTATCACTCTGATCGGCCTGATAGGAATTAAAGGACTCGGCGCAGGTCTCCTGTCTCTACTTTTATCCGGGGCGGTCGCCCTCAAGGCATTGCTGACACCACCACCCCCTTACCCAGCGAGGGTCACCTACGGAATCGTGAAGCCGGAAGTACACCACGACCACTGGCACAGGTCGCAGGAAGAAGCGAATCAACCCTACAGAGGTTGGGCCCCTGAATTTGGCCCGGAACAATACCCCTATCAAGAGATTCCTTAACTTAATCGTTTATTTATGACTCATCCCCTCATCCCTTCGCTCTATTTATTGTCTCCTCTGTTCTTTCCATTACATTGAATAAATCACGCCCTTTTTTTTATACAATCTCGTGTTTTGATTCGCCCTTCGATTCACTTCGAACACGAGACACTTTCCTTTCCGGCGGTCTCCGCTCGAGCGGATCTTCGAGATAATGAAATAAATAATTGGAAATCTATAACTGCGAGGTAAGCAGGTTACCTTACTGCGAGAAGGAGAAGGTTATCGACCTAGATAGAAGCCCCGTGACGCGGAGAGACAGCGGTAGGTAACGAGCCACAGGTGGGGAATGCGTTGGTGTTAGTGGAAACAGGAAGGAGGAATGGAGGTCAGCGCGATGGGAGAAAGGGTAAGAAAATGCAGCGATTGGCCGTAACCGCTTCCCTCTCGCGGATACTCAAGATCAAGAGCACTGGGTCATTGCCTCCACGTGTGACGTCGACTCCCGCTCCGCCCGCGCCTCACGCCGGGGAGAGAGCCGGCGAGAGTAACGGTATCAGTTGTGATCGAGTGGAGAGGGCGAAGACCTCCGCTATAAACCGGCCGATCGAGAGGACAGCACCGTCAATGGCCCGAAATTCTTCGAACGAAGAGCAGCTATTGAATCAATGCACGCTTCGTTATTGAAGTTCTTTCGATTTTCGAATACTTCGAGCATTTTGAAAAATCATTTTTTCGTGGCACTTTAAATAGAACTCTCTCTTTTGAAAACTGGTGGTTGTTGTAGAATCGACAGTGATCGTTTTTCGAGTAGCTTCTGACAACTATTTTAACGTTTGATTAACGTATAACGTATCATTATGTATCTTTATCGATCTTTTAATTAGAATCAATTCAGTTTCTTTGAGGAGCAATAATTAATTAGCTTTGGACAGTAGCATTTATATTAGTCGGTCGGATCTAAGAAGAAATGGAAAAATGGGAATACGTTGCACTGCGTTTTTACTGTATAACGGATGTACGTTCTCGACTTAATGAGGTCTACTCAGCCACTCGGTCAGCGACTGGCTTCGATGCACCCTAAGTTTTTCTTATTTTACCCAATTCTGGATAACGCGACCGCATTCGCAGGAAATAAGCGAGAATTCATACGAACATAAGTTATAATTTCGTTCGATTAATCGATTTCCCTTTTGCTTGCGCTTAATACCTGAATTTCAACTATACATGCAAGTTCAAAAAGAGGAAAGAAAGGACAGTGTTTTATATTTTAAATCTGATGGAAAAGAAATAGTAGGATTAGGATATAAAAGAACTGCCATAGTTACTCTTGCCGCGTTAGAATGATCCATCATAGCCAGACACGCTGCACCTCGTTTCAAGTGACACGGTTTTCCTAACAGCGCCGCTCACCAAGATCCGCCTGATCTTCAATTCTCCAGCTACCTAATCACCCATTGAGCTTTCATAACATTCCCTGAATGCCTCAATTCTTATTAAAAATGAGTTAACCGTAATTCAATAGCGTTCCAAACGACCGGAACTTTAAACAAAAAGAGAATGAAAATAAAATTGCAAAAAGGAAACGAGTTAACATTTCTTAACCCCGACGCAAACATTAATGCAGTTATTCTTTGGCTAAAAACTTTTCATCGATTAACCCCTTCGTGTCATTCTATGACCATGAAAAATACCGTTTTCCTTCAAATCAACCGATCGAAAGCAGATCGATTCTGTTATATCATTGACGCGGCGGAGAAACGCACGGACGAGGTTCGAGGTTATTAGGGGCACTTAGGAAATCGGGAATCGATCGTAAAATCGTTGGTGCTCGGTTTTAATTTTCGCTTTCGCGGTGGCTGGAAAGTAGAGTAACGTGCGGCATTTCTATTTTCTTACAGCCACTCGTTCGTCCTGCCTGTCGAGCGGGTTAAAAATGATCGCCAGGGGAGAGATCGCTAAGGGAATTTTCGCAGACTCTGTGCACGATTCCATGCATTCGATATTGCGTATCAAACATATTAGTAGGATAGTAACAGTAACAGTATACGAGGAACAGTTATGGGGGAAGGGAGGAGCACCATAGAGATGCTGTATTAGAGTAGGTGAGCCATACGATCGCGTATAAGAGCAATATATATGAATAGAAAAAGAGAAAAATTCAATGTAACGACGCTGTCTCTCTTGGATTCAAGTCATTCAAAAAAGATAGCATCGCCAACTTCATCTTTTCTCTCTTTCTAATCCTTTCCCACTTTCACGGCTGTCTCCCCTCCTCTAATGAGGAGCACCCATTCACGTTTCACTTGCGGCACAGTTCACGTGCTATCGATTACCGATTGAAATGTCCTGACAATCGTCGCGAAAACCACAATGTTACATTTTTCATCGTCAATTCGATCGTCCGTCCAAACAGTAAATAATATATATTTATTTCCCGTTTGATTACTAGGCTGTTTCACTGCAATTTGCTTAAGTATTAAATAACAGTTCTCGGCTGGAATGTCAAGCGAGGTTGACCGAGTATGCTCGCGAAAACAGGAACAGCCGGGCGGTGATAGGCGCGATTATTAACGAAAGGAAGGCGTTCCGGTAAAAGGAAGTAACAAGTCGCGGAATGGATACCTCTTTGAAGAAGAAGGCTAATCCGTTCCTTTCTGACACACCTGCCGCTCGGACCGAGCATGCGAGCGCGTGAAACGCCCGTGAACGTCCGCGTCGCGAATTTTACTGCGCTTGAAAATTGCACTGTATGGAATTTCTCTACTTCAAGGAGAAGCGACCGATTCCACAAACACTTGACACCTACGTGCATTTATGTTGCATTTAATAAAATCTTGCTTGCTAACATTTAGCAATCATGATAATTAAAAAGTGCCTCAATTTCAATTACGAAGGCATTATTATTTTGCGGACGTGTTGAACGAAGTGACTGAGCAGAGAGTTGGAAATCGTCGCGCAATTCCCGAAGCGCATTAAGCGCGGCCGCGAAAATTGCCCGCGAGTTGTCCGCACTTTCTCGCCATCAGATCCGTCTCGCGGTGTAGCACCGCGCGTCGTTCGAGCGTGGAGCGCGAAAACCCAATCTCCTAACTGGACTAATTTAAAGTAGGCCTCCTCCGTCTCGTCTCGCTCAGCCGAGGGAGATAATGCCCGCCGCGGTTTCCGCCTTTTCACAGCTTTCGCGCGCAGCTTTTCCGTCCCGTCCCCGGACCTAGTTCCGGCTGTGGGTGCGAAAGCTCGGGCTAGGTCCGACCGGCTGACATTTTCGGCCCCCTCGATTTCGTCGTCGAGATCGAAAGTGGTTCCGCGGCCGCGTCGTGACTGTCTGTCCATCCCCGCCACGCTTCATTCGTGATACTAATTTCAACGCACTATTAAATTAGAATTCATATGAAATTGCTAGGTACGTGGAATAACTATTGCAAATTCTATTATTTTTCTCTCGTCAATCCACACGTTGCATAGAACATACGATTGAAATTGACAAAAAAATAGATACACATGAGGACCATCCCCGATTTCAAATCCGAGACGTATAATTAGTACCGTGGGAAGTCAGCATCCGAGTTCGATCCAGATTCACTGATCTCGGAGGCGTTTGAATGGGCGACGGAACGGATGGGAAGCTAGGCTTCGCTCTCATTAGATCGTCTCCGGCATCCTTTTTTTCCACCGCGAATTCGACAGAGATTCGAATGCTCCGCTCTATTTGACGCTCCCTCTCGCCGCGTGCGAGCGGCGAGCGGCGACCCTCGCCTCCCTGTCGGACGGGCCGGACGGCCGCGGCCGTCGCTGGCGCGCTGGCTTAGGAGAATGTATGGAACGAGCAATTGGCCGAAAGGCAAAAAGGAAAAAGGACTACCCGCTCTATATATACTGCAACTATCCGAGGGTATGTCCAGTGCACGGTACGCGTCTCGTCCGTCAGCTTCAGCCAGCGGGTCTCCGATTCCTGATCGCGTTAACGCGCAGCCGGACGTTCCTCCAGCCAGGATCTCTCCACATCGAAGGGTTTCACGCGTCCGGACCGAAAGAACTTCGCGCTCGGCCATGAAGGGATTCGCTGTGAACGGTCAATCGTCGCGTCAGCATGCGTTGCTGCTGTTACTGCCTGTATTGCTGCTCGTCGGATCCGTCGCCGGGGAGATCGAGAGACGAACGTCGAAGCAGATGGTCGAGGAATCCCCGGAGACCCTGGCTTCGAATTTGAGCAAAGACTGCGGCAAGTCCTACAGCGCCACGTGCCTCAAACTGGACGTGGTGTCCTTCCTGGACAGGCTGTCTGAGCAGGAGGACATCAACATCTTGCCAGGAGTATCCGTGATCAAGGAGAACGGATCTGCCAACGTCCCACCCTCCGAGGTGGTTGCCAATCTGGCCAGAGACTTCCCCAACGATGTGGAAAAGAGGCTCGACGCTTATCTGGTTCACAAAGTCGGAAGTTACCTGAACAGCCACTCGATCTCGATTAAGCTCTTCGATCCGAGGACATTCGAGGCTGCCAGGAGCTTCAACGAGGAGACGATGGCGCAACTCGGTCTCAGTAATGGACAGAACATTGAAACTGGTAAGAGAAGCATTTACAATCGATTGATAACAGATGTCCATTAACTGTTTTATTATTTTACTGCACAGGTCGTAAAAAGGGGAATCGTGGCGGCGGCCTGATGGCCGGTCTTCTAATGATGAAGGGCACCCTGGGTGCAATCGGTTTCGGTGCTCTCGCCCTGCTGGCTGGCAAAGCTCTGATGACCGGTCTGATGGCTCTGATGCTGTCTGCCATCGTCGGTCTGAAATCGCTCGCCCACCACGGCGAGAAGAAGACCACCTACGAAATCGTCAGCAAGCCGGTGTACACGAGCTCTCATACGCACAGTTCGGAGGAGCACCACGGCCATGGATACGGCCACTCCGGTTATGGAAGATCCTTGGACACGATCCATGATACAGTTCAGCAGGCAGTCCTGAAGTATGGAAACGCGCGGGACCGCCGGTCGCTGTTCCGGCAAAACTAAGTTATAATTAATTAAAATCGGTGGAGCCGCCAGCGTGGAGCAGCTGACGGCACGCGAGAGATTTAGTAGCACGTCTCTACCTCACCGAGTTCATTTCCGTCCTTTTTTCTTCTTCACACTTCACGATCCCATTCGATCCGCATCTAACTCCTCCTCCTCCTTCTACTGTTCATCTTCTAGCTCCGACACTTTACTCCTCGCGAAGCCATCCACCGTTCCTACGACACCTTTCTCCTCCTACTTCGAAATCTGTTTCGCTTTCTTGTCTCTATCTTCGCCACTTACGCCGCCTTCACCTGCTCTCGTTTCATCTTACTGATTTGTCTACTCACCGCCACTTTATGTCCGCGCGTCAGCGATTATTTATTTCCCCGTCACACCTTCCCAACGAATGCGCACGCGATACGACGCGACCTGGTCGTCGATGCACATAGATCATTTTCCAATCATGTACATGAGCTCTACTACTTGTTATTTATATGTATTTATGCATTGTAAAGTTTTAATAAATTATGTTTTTAAAAAACAGTCCCGTTTGGTTCCTCTTTTTAGAGGAATGATGAAGTATCCTGTGGTATTCGATTCACTGCATATGTCTATTTAAAATGTATGTAGTTTACGAAGTAATAGAGGCGATTCACCACAGTTGCATGCGTAAAGATAGATAATTGCGAGATGAATGCATTATTCATTAGACTAAACGAAACAAGGTCATCCCCTTCACAGAAATATATAGTACATATCAGTTTACCCACATGTTTCATGATCCTCTTAACATCCTTGCTTATCTCTTCTCAAATGCTTCTAAAAACAGTTTAAAAGAAATGTAATTTGTTAAATAGTTTAAGAATCCTCAGGAAACATGAAAATAAGCAGATCAGCCACAGAGCAAAAATGTTTGGTATCAGATTCGAAGCTCTCATTAATTCTGCCCCTGAAATCTCAAAGCGCAGCATCCTGTTTTACGGAACAGGGAAGCGCGGAACCACGAGGCAAGCTTATTATTATCTAGCGGCCAAGTAAATGACAATCGTGACTGAGTGTAACAAAAATCTACGAAATGACATAAATTTTGTTGTATAAAAACGATTACAATTTGTAGGAAGTCAGTCTTTCGACGGACGACGATAAATCACGAGTGTTGACTGATGTTAATCCCGAGGATCGTTCGTGCAGTGCGTGGGCCGATGTTCGTCGCAATATTGGTGCTTTCGATTATCGTTAGAAGCCACGCTGATGATGGCACGATCAAGGATACTAAGCTGGACCCTAACAAGGTCTCCACCAGCGACGCTCACCAATTGTACTTTCAAGTTTATTTATTTTACTGAACAATCGAATAACTGGTCTGCAAATTTATGCAAAATTAAATATTTGCAATGTCAATTATATAGTCAAATAAATAGTATATATTTCATAAACTTTTCCATATATTTTTACATATTTTTGATAATAGCTTCTGGCATATGGGACTGTCTTTTATTATCACATATTTTTAATTCTATATTTCTATTTATATTAACTCTAGTTTATATTTCTATATATAAATTTTTGTTAGTACCGGCCGACAAGTGTTCGATTACCGAAAGAATGGAATCAGGGTGGACGTGAAAATAGTACCATCATCAAATAACGACTCCGTGATAAACGACGGGTTTCCGGAGTTCCCAACGAAGGACATAGGCCGTTGCATCATCGATTTTTCGTTTACCTGTGCGAAGAATCTTTTCGGACGATTCCTTGAGTCCATCAGAGATCTAAACGAGATACTTTTAATGGGCCAACAGATTAAATTAGTGAAAACTAGAGTGGTCAACAGTCCGAGATCCATTAACGAGAGTAACGAGAATATACAACGAAGTATCGATGACATATTTGATACGTTTGCTCTACGAATCACTCTACCAAGATGGAATGGAAAACAAGAAAAGAATCAAATCGACGTTATGTTGGACGAAACTTCACTCGTCGAAGGTTCGTACCATTTCTAATGCCTAAAGAATTAAAATTCCAAATCACTTAATTTTAATTTACATGTGCCAGGACGAGGCAAAGGAGGCGGAGGCGGAGGCGGAGGCGGTGGGAAGAAAGGCCAAAAGGGTGGCGGCGGCGGCGGCGGCTGCAAAATGATGATAATGGGAGGACTTATGATGCTTAAAATGAAAATAATGAGTAACGTAGAGAAATTTTAGCCATAATTATTTTTAAATCGACTTTAATATAAACATGTATGAAATAAAATCTGTAGGCATCGCGACGTTGAAGGGGATGATGATGGCGGGTATGTCTTTAATGGTGTCAATGGCTATGTTGATGCAAAAGTATATGAAAGGCGGCGGTCATTCCGGAGGAGGTACTTACATAAATAATAATTAGTATCATGAACAAGTTTATTACAGTCTTTATTTATTTCAGGCCAATACAAAGAAATTGTTCTTTTGACTAAATCTACCGGGGGTGGCCCGCCTCAGGATAGTTACGGTGCACCACCACCGTCCAGCAGTTACGGACAACCATCTAGTTACGGACAACCATCTAGTTACGGAGGCTGGGGTCGTAGTTTCGGAAGAAGATTTATGACCAGCGATCTCAGTTCTACAACCGACTTGAAGAATTCATCCCTTAAAAGCGATCAGTCTTCGAGCTTCATTAACCATGAATATCCTTACAGTGACTTCAATTTTACGTACCCGAATTGGAACTACACGGATCGTTATTACTTGGGTAACAGCGTGGATAGTGTGAATAATAAGAGTGATATAGAACCGTTGTTACGCTCGGGAACCGATGATTACAGCATCGAAGTGCATCCTGATCAAGACGGGAGACCAAGGGATTACGTGACCGATTCGGGAGAAATGATTAGTTATGGGGATAGTCTAGATCCCGACGTTTCGACCAAATCTAATTACATAGCAAACAAGTATGAAGCTAGTAATTCGTATCCGGTATACAACGACGAGTGGCAGTCCACGAGGGAACAGATTTCAAGTTTGAATAGGGATATGCATACTAGTACAAGTTCAACTACGTAAAGTTCCTCTTTATATGGAATTTACTGTCATTAAATTACAGTATTTGAAAATAAATCTCAGTTACAAAAAAATCCTGTGTATTTTTTTTATACAAGTTCTTTCAATTTAAAAAATTATATCTGGGCATTTGGCTCAGTGTTTTGAACAGAGTTGTATAAAGCGGTAGCGCGATCTTTCGAAGAACCAGGTAAGCCTCTCGTCAGGTGAAAGGGTTACCTGTTCGCGACAGGTATGTACGATGTCTCGTGATCAACGATTTTATACTACCGACCACTGTGCTTCGTGTTGAAGAGCAATGTCACTAGGTGTCCAAGGCCATTGACCGGCCTCTGTTATAAACTCGAGGGTCCTTTCGAATTTCATAAGCGCTATACAATTGCGTTCCAAGTTCAAGGCGAGTGAAGAAAAGAATTTAATTGTCGGTGAACGTTTAATGTCTGTTGAGAGCAATTTATAAATTATTCATGTTATCTCCAATTAGTATTCCTTCACTTATTGTCATCATCGTTTTTCTCTTTGCCTCAGACACCTTATGACCGTAAGGAAGTGAAATTCGCGACCCAATACTGCCCCTCACGTATCAAATCCAGATTCCATCTCTGCTTCGACATTCTAATCGCATTTAAACGGCTAGCAGTATCGTATCAATCTGTACGAAAGCGACCGTTTGAAATTAATGTAACAGTTCCGATTCTACGAGTTAAGGCTAGTGGCACGCGTTAAGCTGTCGCGTACAGGGTATAATTGCTCGGTAACTGTACGCGACGGAATCGAGTCACTTAGAAAATGTGCGCTGCACGTACCCGCCTATTTGTGTTAGAATCGACCCTGCACAATAGCTGACCCACATCTCTGCCCGAGCTTCAGTTACTTGGCACTCGTCTCACGTAGCATTTTCGGAGGCAACGCGATCTGATTTAAAAGGTATAACGGCAGTCGGATTTTTCAGTCGAGGCGAATGGCAATTTCGACTGCTTGCTTCCTCGTCAATAAGTCGTCAAAATTATTTATGCTATACAGTAAGACTCGACTACGTTTGAGAAGACTGGCTAACAGATGTGCTCAATTCCTGGTAATTATTAAGCATCGGTTGGTTAAGTAGTCGATTCACAAATGATTGAACAATGAATGGGAATCACGGAATAGGAAAATCGGCGAAAGTAATCACGACAGAGGTCGAAGCGAGTTCTGCCACCGTGCCTGAAATAGGTAGAACGTGTCACTCCACGGGTTCGCGAATCGGTTCACTTTCCTATGCGCTTAGCACGCGCTCCGTGACGGATCTTTGCACGATCCTCCTACCTTCGTTGACATAATAGGAATTAACCGCACGTGGAAACGAACACAAAAGGAGGAGTCTGAAAATGTGTAACGGCGTGTTCCCATCGTTCTTTGAAACGTCTTACAAATTACTGATGAACGAAGAGCTGTTATAATTACGTCTACGTACACGCAATTTACTCTTATTTATGTTTTTCATATTTATCTTTAATTAGCTGTCACGTTCGTTTAGTTCTTAATCAATTTGTATGAATGAGGGTCATTAGCGTTACGCAAGTCTCAATGAGAACGACTGCAGTTCATCGACCAGCTGTTCGACTGTATCTCTCTATTTACATAGTATTACAAGCAAACAGTGTAGTTTATTATCTTTGTCTCAGCATAATAATTAATCGTGGGAATTATATTCCATGTTCCTGAATTCCTGAGATTTTCTCTCTCGACGTTCTCCCCAGCGTTTTTTTCATTCCACAGTTATTAGTCTGTCTAGCAGTATTTCTGGTCAGGGTATCGATCAGAATCAAACCTGAAACGGAATGGTCATCCGCGTACGTGTCGCCGGACAGGGGTACGCAGAATATTTTTTAACACACCCGATATAGTATGTAACGTGTCCTAGTTGCTTGGTTCACTTCGAGCACGTGCAAACCAGTTCCGATGCACCGCGTCTGTGCAAATACTTTCAGTCAACCGGCGCGGCGCGACGATTTTCGCTGAGAAGAGTCACGCATACGCTTCCGATTGTATTATCGAACCGACCTCTGCGCGACACGCATGTTTTTGGGAACGCCAAGTAGATTCTTTCACCTACTTTGTCGAGTTTCTCTTTTGACTATGATTATTTCCTGTGTCCAGCTTCGCGATACTCGCCCGAATCGCTTCTATCTTCCTATCGCTGTTTACGATCTTGCTAAACCTTCCAATAAAATTACCATATAACAAGTAAACGCCAAATCCTAATTTAGGTATTTCGAGGAATTCTAATTCAGTACTGCTTGAAAATTAAAACGGTACAAAGGAATAAATTAAATGAAGCAGATAAGCTGAGAAGAAGCTGCGCGGTTCCGCGACTCGATTGTACCTAATATCTAGGCTGTCTTTGAGCGGAACGGGCGCGTTCTTCCTTTATGGGTATCGAGGGCCGTGGAAAAAAGAAAAGGAGGAGCGAGGCTTCCGTGAACGAGAGCTGCTCCACGCGATCACTTTTCGGCAGTCATCGAGCGCGCAAACCCGGTCGCCGCGTTCTACCTGCCCAATGGCCAGATCGATAGTAGGTCAATGTAATTCATTCAGGTCCACGTTCGTCACTATGGCTATTTCGATCCGAACGATCGTTTCGTAGAAAACCACGTGGTCCACCGTAACTGCGTCAAGTCAGGTGTGTACCTTTATTATGCAAATTGTTTTCAGTATTAATGTCTAATGACAATGAGAAATGTCTGTCCACTTGATAAGCAGATAACTGTACACGATTAGCTAAATTCCTAATTAAATGTATATTTAAAAGAGCAGATACGGACTTGGCGTTAAGAGAAAGAATAACTTTGACCATTGGGCATGTGACGTCAAGGTCGGATTTTCGTCAGCCGGAGGACATATCTCTCTGTCGATGGGTAGGATGACGCTTATCGTTCGTTCCCCTTAAATGTAGGTTGCCAGTCCCAATGCTACGGGAACACGTTCACCAGCGGTCAGTGAAAACTTCGTGGCAGACCCGCCCGAGAATACGTGACCGAATGCCGACGATTTAAATCAAATCAAATTCGAAATTTACTAATTAGAGAGATACAACCATTCGTTAACCGCTAATCGTAGACTTGATCCAGATTGTCGTGCAATTATACTTCCTCCTTTCGAGATGACTCAATTCCCCGATTTTCTTGTAGTTAACCTTGATACTGACAAACCAGGAAACGATATTTCTTCTATCTTATTTCGAACTTCGCTTTTTGCAACGCGCCACAAATTTCACTCTCGCGTTCCACTTGTCCATTTCTATCAGGTTTTATGTTTGCTCGGACAATTGCCACATCGTCAACGATTGGCGACAGAAAGCCTCACGGCTATAATCGAAACTGGATCATCGAATCTTCACTAGTCGCTTTGGAGTCACGTAAGCTAAGGTCTAACGATGTTTAACAAATTTTGCTGATCTTGATACAAAAAGAATCATGGGAGACGTTTACATTCAGTTTAGCAGTTGAATGATTATAATGTATGTCATTTGTCAACGGTACACCATTTAAGGATGTATTGGCTATACAGTCAATTCCAAATGTTTATGCACTTTAGAAACGCATTTTTTAAAAAGAAATCAGACGTCGGAAGAACATTGCTAATAATAACCAACAAAAAAAAATTTTTTTTTTTCCGAGATTTTTCCAAGGGGTACCCCCTTCAATTTCTTCCAAATTTTCGTTTTTGGCCAATAACTCCCAAACCGTTGGATCTACGAGAAAATTGCATCAGATCTTTT